GGCCGGGCGGCGCGCCCGAGGAAGGCCGCCGCATCGCCAGCGGGGGAAGCTGGGGCGTCGTCCCTGCAGTGGGTCTCGTTCTGCGGGAGAGGATCCCGCGCCACAGCCGCGCAGCGAGACGCAGCACGCCACAGCCACCCGGCACCATCGCCGTCGCCACGCTTTGACGTCACACGCCGGCGCCTCTCGACTCTGATTGGCCGAGTCAATCCAGCGCGGCCCGAGGATTTTACGTCAGCGTGGGCGGGGTCCAGTGTCGTAGGCGAGATAATGGAAGACGCCCTGGACTGATTAGGCTTTTGTAGACTTCAAAGGACAAATATTTGACGGTCCCCTTCATCTTTCCCCTTTGTTGTAGCTACGCACTATGCCTTTTGTTTTCCCTCCTTCCATTGTAATGTAAACGGCGTGAAGGCAGAAAAAACATTTTAAAAACAAAAACGATTCCCTCTTCAAAACCTAGGAAAGCTCTTAATAGTCAATAGACCCGTGTAGTCGCTGTTAATTACACTGGAGTTAGGTGGGGCAAACGCTGAATTGAGAAGTTGGTGGTTTGAACCCAACTAGAGGCATCTCAGGAGTAAGCGCGGGTGAGCCTCTTCCAAAGGTCGCAGCCTTGAATTCAAGCCTTACAGAGCTTTTCTGCTCTGCACTTACGGGCTTACCCAGCTTTGGAAGCGTGGGAAAACCAAGAAAAACCTTCACACTCCTTGTATGGAGCAGCATCCTCCTGTGCACTGCAGGGGAGGGGCCATCTCTGGGAGGAAGGGAAAGCGGCGACGCTGCTGTAACAGTAATTCACGACAGCCCCTAACAGTAAGTATGATAGAGAAGTTATTAGGAGGGTAGTGATTCCGCACTGAGTTTTCAGTTATACAACTAGAGGGACAGCTCAAGTACTCTTTCAAATAGAGGATGTGTCAATTATTCATATATTTTTCAGAATGTAAGTGAAGGATTCCTATGCAATTTTATTTTCTCATCTTTGTGTTCCATTCTTGATATATCAAAAATATTTGTTGAGTTTGCATCAATACAAGTTTTGGTTTTTTAAAAAAACACTTATGGTGTTAACTTTTTATATGGTTGGAGTCGATATTAAGAGCAAAAACAAAACAAAAAGCATTAAATCAAAGACCTTGAGAACTGAAAGAGACCAGATAGGGAGAGTGACTTTCACAGGGTCATATACTTATTGACAAACTAGAAACAAGCCAAGTTTCTGAACAACTAATGAATTTTTCCAGGAAGGCTGTAGAGTGATACCAGTAGACGAACAAACTTGTTGCTGTGGGGTCAATCCTAACTCATGGCAACCCCATGAGTTACGTGAGAATTACAATTGCTTGGTAGCGTTTCCTTGAACGTAATCCTCACGGAAGCCATTCACTAGGCTTTCTTCTGCAGAGAGGAACTGCCAACCAGGAAGTTTTCACCATGAGATCGGCATTGTCTCAGCCAAACTCACTGCCACGGAATTGATCCCAACACACTGGCCCTGTGCGTCCTGAGGTTGTAGCTCTTCACGGAAATAGCAAGCCTTGTCTTTCTCCCTCGGAGTGGCTGAGGGTTTCAAACTGCTGACCCTGAGGTTAGAAGCCCAAATCTCCCAAACCCTGGACTTCAATCAATCCAGAATCTCCCTGCAACAAATTAATCTGTTGCTAAATCCTATTTAGTCTACCACTACCACCATTCCCATTCAAAAAAGTCCCCCCCCCCCAGGTTTATTCCCACTATCCCTTCCTTAATCCAGGTTCTCATTAGCTCTTGCCCAATCACAAGACAGGGACCAGTGGTGGGTCAGAGGTAGAATTCTTGCCTTCCATACAGGAGTGCCAAGTTAGAGTCTTGAATGAATGGCATGTCAGCACCCATCTGTTGGTGAAGGCCTGTCTGTTGCTGTGGTCCTGAATGGCAGACCTTCCAAACTAAGATGGAGCAGAAAGAAAGGCTTCTCAATCTTCTTCCCAAATTAGCCCATGGAAACTCTATGGATCACAACAG